GGGGAATGGTGGCTCAGGGAGATGGCTCAAGAAATCATTGACTTCGAGGTATGCCTAATGTTTCTCCTGTGTTTCAACACATATTTATAACTAGATTTTTTATCGTTTGAATAGATAACGTAACATTATATTTTTTTTTCTTTAATGTGGCATATGTAAATAACTTAAGCTTTGTGATATATTTATTCACGCACACGAAACTGTAAAAAATAAGAATTGTAGGAGGCCTATACAGTTATTTCGTTTTTATTTCGGAAATTAATCTATGTATGTGGTAAATTTAGTAGGCATATACACAGACAGCTAGATAATCTTAATTTATCTTTAGAAGGAAATAGTGTTTGTATTTCTAAAGTGTATACCAGAATTCATTATACTGTGAACCAATAATCTGGACAAAATTATCTTATTTTTCCACTGTATTAGTTTTTTTTCTCCATATATCTTTCCAGATGATCCCAGATGTAACAATAAAAGACGCACACCAGAAATGTCTAGCATACCAGTACGATATCAAAACTGGTCCTCTGTGGTTTGCTAAACTCAAACCAGTCTCGCCTTCCATGGAGGGTGTGTCGGATATGGCTGGCTTTCCTCACATAAGTACGGTCTTCCTGGGCCTCTACCACGGCATCACAGACGGATATTCCAACATGAAGATCTGTGGATATCTAGTACAACTTCTCGAGGATGTAATTGCACGTAATCCTATCAACGACGAAGAGAAACTAGGCATCTGCGTATCCGGGGAAAGAACACAACAATTGATAGAAGAGCGGTTTGCAGCTATCAAGGCTGATAGTGAGTATAAAGAAGAGATGATGAAGGAGTATCAGGCCAGTCAGAAATCTTGCCTCCTTGCAAGCATGATATCTGAGGATGCAGGAGAGAAAGAGCCCAAGACTCGCATGCTGCTACGGAACCTGGACCCTGATACCAGCACCGCCTTCTTCAAGAGGTGTCGCGAAGAAGGGGTTTCTGTTAATTCAGCCTTCACTGCTGTAGGTAGCGTTGCCATGGTCGATTTCCTGGTGGAAGGAGGCATCGACCAAGACACGTATAGAATCAGCAGTAATCATGTGGTCAATGCCCGCAGATACTGGGGAGGCGACACTTCCGATTACCTGGGGTGTCACGCCCTGCCAACGAATCCCGTGACAGTGGAAACACCACGCACTGTTGGGTCGAACTTCTGGAATTATGCAAGAAAGCTACATCGCGAGTTTCAAAAGACTTTGGATTCGGACAAGGCCATACATATTGAAGCAATGAAACAAGTCTGCCGATCTGAAAATCCGGACTCTGGTGCCCTTTTTAAACTACTCCAGTTTGACTTTTGTATGACCAACATGGGGAACGTGACGTCGCTGGTAACGGAAGGTGGGGCTCACGTGCAGGCGACCCACGTCCTGAGGACCACAGCCATCCACCCAGTCCCCAACCTGTGGGCTCATTTTCTGCATTCCTTCCGTGGCAGACTTATCAATGTGTTAGCTTACAGCACTGAAAACATCAATGACGAGATGGCGGAGAATTATTGCAATAAAGTTTTCAAGCATTTGCACGAGGTAATTAACATTAAAAAGTAATTGCAACCATTTTGTCAATTTTTAACATTAGCATTTCAGTTTTCAGTATTCTAATCTGCGTGATGTTTTTAATACATTTCATTACAACTTACATATTGTAGGTTTCAGTATGTGATCTAGTCTCTACAACAAAATCAGTGTAAATTAAAGTAATAAAGTAATTTACAGCTGAAGTTTCATGATGAATAAACAATTATTCCTTAAAATGTATCCCTTGCCATTCATTCGAGACGCAGCAGGTCTACTTCATAGTAAGATGAGACTGAAAGCACTGAAAGTGCACCTTAAATCAAGTGAATTTAGTGGTTATTCATAGCACCGTATTTTCATTAAAATTAATAGGTTTTCTGCCGTACCCCCCCCCCCCCCCACACACACACACACGCACACGGTTATCCTGCTGACTGTGGGGGCAGAAACTTCCCTTCCATTATTACTTTTTCTGACTTTCCTACAATTTATTAATTACTACAATTCCTACAATTTATTAATTACACATACATACATACAGATTTATTAAATTCGTTCCTCTATCCTTATAACTATATCTATAGTATGTAAGGTATGTGTCATACACATACACACACTCACAAATATACGCACACTTATACACAAACCTACACACATGCATACATACGCACACATACACACATGCATACATACGCAAACATACACACATGCATACATTCGCACACATACACATACATCGACATGCACGCGCACACACACACGCGCGCGCGCGCGTTACACTCGTACACTGTAGTTTCCGCTTTATAACATATTTTCCTTGTGGATTCTATCGAGGTGTTCTTTTTTATTGTTTTCCCCATGTACTCTGTTTTCAGGGGAATATCTTCTCTTATACTTCAGATGAAAATTGACATACACACAATTACATTCAATATCTAGATATATTCATTTATATCTCAATAACATTTCTAAGACTGGATTCTAAACCGTAATACCCTTCAACATAATACCCTTCATGTTGTGGATTTGTTTTTTTTTCAGTCATGTAACACCCCCCCCCCCCCCTACACCATCCTTTCTGTAGATTTATCCTTAGGGTAAGTGCTATAACAGTATTTGGAGGTTTAAAAAGAAACACTTCTAATGATTATATATTTACTTTTTTGAAATATTACTTACACTGATATAATTAACAACTCATTGAATTCTCACCCAAGTACGTACATTGTTGTTCATATATTACTGAAGGATTCTCCCGTAGGCAACTTCTCAAATTAATATCTACGCTAATTCTTCTCTCTCTCCTGCCCCCCCCCTTTCTCTCTCTCCTCTCTCTCTCTCTCTGTCCCACTCTCTCTCTTTCTTTTCTCTTTCCCTATCCCCCAATATAACATTCATCGGCGTAGGGGCATTTAAAATTTAGGGGGGCTGCACATTTTCTGCCCGAGTGAAAGAGGAAGAGAAATTTCACCTGCCAGAAAATTTGATGAATGCCACCAGTGACGTAGATAGAGGGGGTCGGGGGCTAAACTGTCATTTTGTCGGAAATTTTCTGCACTTGTCGGAAAAATAACGATGGTTTTCTGTTTCGTTTAGTTCTAGTGGCCTTATATCATGTTCAAAATAATCAAAAATGAGAATAAGTGTCAAATTTTTGTCGGGATATCTTCATTTCTCGCCCCCTCTATGAATTTTCCTATCTACGCCCCTGCCCAAAATTGCCCGAATTCAACCAGCATTTACCCGACTTTACCCCCCCAGCCCCCCTGGCTCCTAGGCCTATGATAACATTCCCTACGCAAATCGAAATAAACAAGACACGGAATAGAGAGAAGTGATCCAATAAAAGTTGTCATGGCTTTGCAAAATTTGCCAAATATCTGGAGCGAAGAAACTGAGCCCATTTTCGAGCGCATGTGTGTATGTGTGTGTGTGTGTATGTGCGTGTGTGTGTGTGTGTGTGTGTGTGTGTGTGTGTGTGTGTGTGTGTGTGTGTGTGTGTGTGTGTGTGTGTGTGTGTGTGTGTGCATGTGTGTGTGTGTGTGGTTGTGTGTGAGTGCGTGCGGGCGTGTGTGTGAGTGCGTGCGGGTGTGTGTATGCGCGCCTGTGTCAAAAAGAACTGGTTTCTGGGATTCAGCTTTGGTTCAGATGCTTCTAAGGTTCACTTAAGTCACGCGTTGCTCATGTAACAGTTTCGTGGCGTCGTGAACCTCTCGAGCTGAAGGTAAGCTGCTGTATTTTTCTTCTTGTTTGGGTTGCTAGTTAGAGTACATACTTAGTATAGTTTCAGTGGATTGAGGTCAGGCTTGTACGAATAAAGAGAGTATAGAATAGTTGTTACCTGTGGTGTGTGTGTGTGTGTGTGTGTGTGTGTGTGTGTGTGTGTGTGTGTGTGTGTGTGTGTGTGTGTGTGTGTGTGTGTGCATGTGTGTGTGTGTGTGCTTGTGTGTGAGTGCGTGCGGGCGTGTGTGTGAGTGCGTGCGGGTGTGTGTATGCGCGCCTGTGTCAAAAAGAACTGGTTTCTGGGATTCAGCTTTGGTTCAGATGCTTCTAAGGTTCACTTAAGTCACGCGTTGCTCATGTAACTGTTTCGTGGCGTCGTGAACCTCTCGAGCTGAAGGTAAGCTGCTGTATTTTTCTTCTTGTTCGGGTTGCTAGTTAGAGTACATACTTAGTATAGTTTCAGAGGATTGAAGTCAGGCTTGTACGGATAAAGAGAGTATGGAATAGTTGTTACCTCGATGAAATTTGAGACACGTTCGATATATAACATTCCCCACGCAAATCGAAATAAAGACACAGAATAGAGAGAAATGATCCAATAAAAGTTGTCATGGCTTTGCAAAATTTGCCAAATATCGGAAGCGAAGAAACAGCGCATTTTCGTGGTGTTTACATCTTAGCTGGTGCCATATTTTTATTGGATCCTTAATTTCTGCCAGTCTTGTGAAAATTAATATTACATGTAAGTATAATTAACGCCATTCTTGAAAAAATGTACCAGGAAAAATCTATCTGAAGCATGGATTAAATGTCAATCATATGTAGGTCTACATTACCGAAAACATACCGTAAAACGTGCTTGCAATCTTTATTTTAACGATTAATTTTCTTATGTTTTCTTATTTTTCAGGGTATGTGTTCAACAACATTAACAAGACCCTATATTATTTTCAGTATTTTTTTTTCAACAAAAGATGATATAATCTATATGTGACTATGTGTTTTCGGGTTAACCATTGAATTTAAGTTGCAACTGCTGGCACCTCTTTCTCAAGGTCAGACCCGAGAAGTTCTTCATTTGTGTTCACTATCGCTGATGACTTTGCTCATGATAACTTACTTCTCCAGTGTAAACGAGACGAGGGAATCTGAATCAATGCTAACCACAAAAAATAAGTGTTTAAAAGATATTATTTCTCAGGGGGTACATTATTCTACCTGCTTGTTTGCAGTACAACATAAGCTCTTTCCTCTCTCACCAGGTAATGTCAAATCCTGAGTACATGTACGAATTATGTATATTTATATATGTATATATATATATATTCTTAGACTAAGATTTAATTACATGAATGTCATACTTGGCGGTTAAGTTAACGAAATGATTGCATTGGCGATGGACTCAAGAAATGCATTACAGTAATCTAAAGAAGATGGATTGGACCTTGAGTATTCACTCTATTCTGGCAGCTGGAGCCTAGAAATGTTTGGTCAGTGCAACTCTAAGGCTGTTAGTAAATTTATGGTTATTTTTTAAAGATGTGTATATACGTTTGTAAATTCCTTCATCGGAGTGTGTACAGTAAAGATAACTAATTACCATATCAAATGTTAAGTTGATTATATAGCAGTAGTTCTTAATCTACTAGAGTCACGGAGTCCTTTAAGAATCTAATGCAACGTATGGACAGCGTTCCTCAGAAATATTTATAGCTTTGCACGCAGTGTATATGATGTACTTTATTTATTGACATTTAATTGTTCCATACTTAAATAAGAGATACCCAAAGTGTTATTAAACTTTAAAGTAAGCAATCTAAAATACACGTTAATATGAATGTTCATTTTCAGTATTTGTTAATTGATGTTTGTTTTTTTTAGAATTACTATTTGCTCTCTGAATATCTGTATATTTTTACTATTTGCTCTCTGAATATCTGTATATTTTTCCGTTCGTTTTTGTCTAATGCTTTCAACTGCTTGCATCTGGCGCAAGTGGATTACATGCCTATTCATTTCCCCATTCTTTTTTTTTTGTTATTATTCGGCTTCCGTCGGTCGTTATTATAAGCACAATACCAAAAATGGTATACCACCTTTCATTTCGGAACTACCGCGGATTAGAGGCCAATCTGATATAGGAAAGAGACGTGCCTAGGCCCGCTCAGCCTGAAACGAAAGAAAAAAATGCAATTTTGTCTTGCAACAGTAGTTGTGGTAGTAGTAGTTGTTTTTGTTATTGTAGCAGCAGAAGTCTCAGCATAAATGATCATGATAATAATTAATCGCAAAAAGAAATAATAACGATAATAATAATAGTAATAATGGTAATAATAACGAGAGAAATAAAAATAATAATGATTAATAGTGATAATAATAATAGTGCTACTAATAAAAAAATATATTAAAAAGAAGAACAATATGACAATGACTGTTGTTATTATCGTTATCATTATCAACATTACCATATTAATAGGAGCAATTTTAATATTATTATCATTATTATTATTATTGTCATTATCAATATTTTTATTATTGTTACCATCATCACAGTCATCGTCATCGCCACGGCAAGCATGCAGTGATGTTGAATCAGTTACTATTAAGGATGTATTAGTTGAAACAGTTCTAAATAGCTGAAACCGGCTGGGCCACATGTATGTAAGGCCCAGGCGTAGCTAGCCTTTGCAGATCTCACTAAACAGAACTGAACGGAACCTGCAACGTCTGCTTCTTGCCTGGTAACCAAAGTGGCTCTCTTCTCCATGTGCGCCCCTCGCCGGCTCGCGACCGCCAATCACAGCCAAGCTTTCTGTTTATCTGACTAGTAAACGGACCATACCACTGTACATATGTTATAATATGCATGTCAGTAGTCATTATGGCCTTATTATAAGTCATTTTCCTTTTTTTTAATAGAACTACCATTTGGAATGCGAAAAGAAATAAAGTACTGCAATCAGCATTCAGAAGGATAATTAGTGAGTACTCTGGCCAACAGCAAATATTGTATATCTTTATCACCACAGTGTCCCCCTCCCCATTTTAATAAACACTGTCATCTTTTAGGTATCAGGATGGCAACGGATGGAAAGTGGCTGTGGAAAACGACATCAGTGGAACAGTTCTTCACTACTTACAATGTTAGTTACCAGCTCACCCTCGCCAGCCGAGAGCCCCTTCTTGAAGATCACCTCCGCCAGGCCCTCATTCATCTCTCAAGGTATTGGGAAAGTGGAGAGTGAATTTTACACTAATTTATACATACATACCCAATCCCTTGCTCGTTGTTGTCGTGTGGGCTTACGAGATGCAGTGTGTGGCCCAATATATAGATCACACCTACCTTGGACCTCACCCCACACCTAATTTTGCATTGTCTTATTATCTCCCCCTTTCGTTTTCATTCTCTTCCTCATCCACTTTTTCTGTCCAGTTCCTTAGGTGTGAGAACCGTGCTGAAACGAGGAACAGCTGGCTTTGTGTCTGTCATGACCGGAATCCGGGAGCCATGGGCACGGTGTTCCCTTGGTTAATCGCCCAGCCCTTAACCCTTATGGGGACACTGAGATATCTAACTTTGATTTTTCTGGTTTCCAGACCCCTGCCTCTTTAACCACGGCTCCGGCCACTGATACTAATACCCCCGTTCAAATTGCTCTGCTCAGTCACGCATGTGTGTCAGTTTTGGTGGCTCCCATAATGTATTTTATAGAAGCTACCCTGTCCATAAGCTCGAATCTGATGTGGCTGTTCTCAAATTCAAGCTAGGCCTCACTTTACGTGAGGCCAGACAAGAAGCACGCCGATGAGATTTTTTTCTCTCTACCTATTTTTTCTCCAACCCGAACTATTCTACCTTTATTCCCCCTTTCCCCCAGTCAAATTACTTTTCCACTGTATATCCAGATACTCCAATGTCTACCACTTCCTCGATGCCTACTCCTCCTCCCTCTCACCTGTCGCACCAGGCAATCTAAACGTTCTCCTACCATATCCTGTCCTACACACACCTCTTCCTTTGCCCCTCAGACATCTATCCCCTCTTCTCCTCGCGATAAAACCTTTGTTTATCAGACCTCCCCATCCAACTCCCCTCCAGAAACTCTTGAAGACATTCAGAACTTCCTAAACATAACCCAAGAAAATGCGCCGCTCCCTCATCCACCCTTAAAACCCTCTATTCCTATACCCTTTACCTTCAAAGCATTTGCCGATATCCATCCTCCTCTTCAAGTTCCCCCAATCCCTCTTCCTCCCACTCTCTCCCAAAACACCCCACCGCTCCTTCTCCATGCGCACCACCATTCTTTCCCCATTATCCTTACCACTCCCACCTGGATGCTCACGTGACTCCCTTGTGCTGCAATAGTGCCGGATCCTTCCCCTCATAACTTTCTTCCTGATACTTCACCACTTCCCCCTGTTCCCTTACCTCATTTACGGATTCTTCTCTTATTTCTCCAACAGCCATATCTACCCGCATTACCCGTTGTTTCATAATGGCTCCTTTGCCAGTTTTCCTTATACAGTATACCTCTTTCTTGCTCAAACACATACTCTCCATTTTATCCAATCGGCCTACACCCTTAACCCTTTCCTTTTTTTTTTTTTACTAATTTCCCCCCTCTTTAACCTTTTCGCTATCCTTTTCATCACAATACTTTACCATAGTGATGTATGACCTTTGATGTCTTGCACATTTATTTGTAGTTAACCATTTACATGGTTTTCTATATTAATATCTGGTACATTAGTGAAGGAGACTTAGCATTATTAAAGAAAATCTGTAAAAAAAAAAATTAAGATGATGACCTTCTTCAGGAAAGTGCCATTGTTGCGGCTGTGCTATGCTCAACGGGAGGAGGAATGGTGGCTCAGGGAGATGGCTCAAGAAATCATTAACTTCGAGGTATGCCTGATGTTTCTCCTGCGTTTCAACACGAATTTATAACTAGATTTTTTTTATCGTTTGAATAGTTAACGTAACCTTTTTTTTCTTCTTTAACGTGGTATATGTAAATTATTTTTAAGATTTGTGGCATAATTTTATTCACGCACACGAAACACGTAAGAATTGTAGTAGACCTATATGATTATTTCGTTTTTATTTCGGAAATTAATCTGTGTATGTGGTAAATTTAGTAGGCATATACACAGACAGCAGGATAACCTTCAGTTGGCTTTAGAAGGAAATAGTGTTTATATTTCGAAAGTGTTCACCGGAATTTATTATACTGTGAACCAATAATCTGGACGGAAACAGTTATGTGGTTTCTTTCCAGATGATCCCAGATGTGACAATAGAAGACGCACACCAGAAATGTCTAGCATACCAGTACGATATCAAAAATGGTCCTCTGTGGTTTGCTAAACTCAAACCAGACTCGCCCTCCATGGAGGGTGTGTCGGATATGGCTGGCTTTCCTCACATAAGTACGGTCTTCCTGGGCCTCTACCACGGCATCACAGACGGATATTCCAACATGAAGATCTGTGGATACCTAGTACAACTTCTCGAGGATGTAATTGCACGTAATCCCATCAACGACGAAGAGAAACTAGGCATCTGCGTATCCGGGGAAAGAACACAACAGTTGGTAGATGAGCGGTTTGCAGCTATAAAGGCTGATAGTGAGTATAAAGAAAAGATGATGAAGGAGTTTCAGGCCAGTCAGAAATCTTGCCTCCTTGCAAGCATGATACCTGAAGGTGCAGGAGAGAAAGAGCCCAAGACTCGCATGCTGCTACGGAACCTGGACACTGATACCAGCACCGCCTTCTTCAAGAGGTGTCGCGAAGAAGGGGTTACCGTTAATTCAGCCTTCACTGCTGTAGGTAGCGTTGCCATGGTCGATTTCCTGGTGGAAGGAGGCATCGACCAAGACACGTATAGAATCAGCAGTAATCATGTGGTCAATGCCCGCAGATACTGGGGAGGCGACACTTCCGATTACCTGGGATGTCACGCCCTGCCAACGAATCCCGTGACAGTGGAAACACCACGCACTGTTGGGTCGAACTTCTGGAATTATGCAAGAGAGTTACATCGCGAGTTTCAAAAGACTTTGGAATCGGACAAGGCCATACATATTGAAGCAATGAAACAAGTCTGCCGATCTGAAAATCCTGACTCTGGTGCCCTTTCTAAACAGTCCCAGTTTGACTTTTGTGTAACTAACATGGGGAACGTGACGTCGCTGGTAACGGAAGGTGGGGCTCACGTGCAGGCGACCCATGTCCTGAGGACCACAGCAATCCACCCGGTCCCCAACCTGTGGGCTCATTTTCTGCATTCCTTCCGTGGCAGACTTATCAATGTGTTAGCTTACAGCACTGAAAACATCAATGACGAGATGGCGGTGAATTATTGCAATAAAGTTTTCAAGCATTTGCACGAGGTAATTAACATTAAAAAGTAATTGCAACCATTTTGTTAATCTTTTGTATTAGCATTCCAGTATTTTATCTCCATGATATTTTAGTGTGTTTAAATACTTTTCATTACAACTTACATATTGTAGGTTTTAGTATGTGATCTAGTCTCTACAACAAAATCAGTGTAAAATAAAGTAATATGAACCATTATTTACAACAGAAGTTTCGTGATGAATAAACCAATATTACCTAATAAAATTTATCCTTTGCCATTCATTCGAGACGTAGCAGGTCCACTTCATAGCAAGATGAGACTGAAAGCACTGAAAGTACACCTTAGGTCACACACATTATATATATATATATATATATATATATATATATATATATATATATATACATACATATACATACATACATACATACATATACATACATATACATACATATACACACACGCACACGCACACGCACACACACACGCACACACACACACGCACACGCACACACGCACGCGTACGTGTGTGTGTTGCACTCGCGGGTAGCGAAATAGTTCTCTGTAGTTTCCGCTTTATAGCATATTTTCCTTGTGGATTCTGTCGAGGTGTTCTTTTTTATTATTTTCCCCATGTACTCCGTTTTTTAGGGGAATAACTTCTTTTATATTTCTGATGAAAATTGCTATACACACAATTACATTTAAATCGCCTCATTATATATAAAACATATTCAGATATTTATATCTTTATATTTATTTTTATTTGATATTTCTAAGATTGGATTCTAAATTGTTTGCGATTTTGTGTTCATAATAATTTCACTCCCCTTCATGTTGTGGATTTGTTATTTTTTTTCATTCATGTTAACTCCCCCCCCCCCCCTTCCTTTATGTAGATTTAACCTTAGTGTAAGTTCTATAACAGTATTTGGAGGTTTTAAAAGAAACACTTCTAATGATTATATATTTACTTTTTTTAACATTACTTACATTGATGTAAGTAACAACTCATTGAATTCTCACTCAAGTGTCGTGCACTGTTACACATCACGTAGTAAATTCTTTCTCGTACGTACACTATTGTTCATATCTTAGTGAAGGATTCTCCAGTGAGCAACTTCTCAAATTAATATCTAGGCTAGTTCTTCGAGCTCACCCAATCCATATGTCCAATCTACTTTTATATTTTTTTTTTATCCCATTACACGCATATTCTCACGAGATTTGCAATGAACTAATTATATAGTATGAGGTTTGTTCACTGAATTTTCACACTTAAAACCGAGCTAAGAACGCCTATAATCGCTCATCAGAACTTCTAATGTGCTTGCAAAACACCCCTGTTGGAGATTGTTCCTCTCACTGTATAAACTACGTTTACTACATGTTATAATATTTGACTATATATATATAGTATATAAATTATATAACCAAATTATTGGTAATTCTCTCTCTCTCTCTTTCTTTCTCTCTCTCTCTCTCTCTCTCTCTCTCTCTCTCTCTCTCTCTCTCTCTCTCTCTCTCTCTCTCTCTCTCTCTCTCTCTCTCTCTCTCTCTCTCTTTTCTCTCTTTCTCTCTCTCTTCCCCCTCTCTCCCCCCTCTCTCTTCTCTCTCTCCCCCCTCTCTCTTCTCTCTCTCCCCCCTCTCTCTTCTCTCTCTCCCCCCTCTCTCTTCTCTCTCTCCCCCCTCTCTCTTCTCTCTCTCCTCTCTCTCTCTCTCTCTCTCTCTCTCCCCCTCTCTCTTTCTTTCTCTCTCTTCCCCTCTCTCTTCTCTCTTTCTCTCTCCCCCTCTCTCTTTTCTCTCCCCCCCCCCCTCTCTCTCTCTCTCTCTCTCTCTCTCTCTCTCTCTCTCTCTCTCTCTCTCTCTCTCTCTCTCTCTCTCTCTCTCTCTCTCTCTCTCTCTCTCTCATAATCTCCCTCCAGCACTTCGTGTATTGTTTATTTTCAGGAAATATAGATATAGTAAAGATTATCCTTTATTTTTCGTTTTCTTTTTATACAAGAATAATAACATTTATTCACCAGGACAGACTGTATTAGATTTCTCTTACAAGTGATTTCAGCATTTTTAGAGGCCATTATTTCACTGGTTACGTGTCATATCTTATGTATTGCAGCTGCATGACTCTGGAGCTTGATATCAGACCCAATAAATATTCTGCTCTTTTTATTTCCCTTTAGAAGTAGGAATCCGTCACTACAATACACAACAGGAACTACAGGGAGAGCTGGCAAGGGAGGGATGTGAAGTTAATGGTATATTTCTCTGTGTTCTTTGTGTTTAGTGAATAAGAGATGAGGTGAAGTGTATTTGTATTTCCTGTAGATTGTGGTAGTTCTAGGAGGGTTGATGTTGGCGTGGTGGTTAATATACTATGGTATGAATTGTGGTATCCGGTTGACAAAGTCTGTGATTGAGTGATAATGAATTAAATTTACTTCAAAATCCACGTGTGTTTGCTATGAGTGAAGATGTTTTCTTGGTCAGGAAGAGGATAACAATAATCCAATAAGATAATAATATTTTTTTTTCTTGTGTTAGCTCTGACAGGTTTTTTTTTGTTATTTTTCTCTCTCTCTCTTTCAAGGTTATTTGGCAATGAGACTGATGTTCTGAATTATGGGCTCTTTTACAGTCATTTTGTTAGGGATGAAAAATAGCTGTATAAATCACTTGGGCAGTAAAAAATACTTTGTAGCTGGTTGAGTCTTGACAGTTGCTTTAATCACTTATTTGGATATTTTTTTAAAAGTTTTCATTTATATTGATACACAGCTTCTCATACATAGGTCAGTGTAAATTTTTGGCAGAAGTGGGAGGCAGATGGTGGTTTGCCTAAATTG